GCTAAAAAAAAAAAAAAATTACAACTTCCTGGCCATTATCCAGCTGAACATTTCATACAGCAGGGCTCCAGACTGCAAACATTTACATCATTTTACAGTAGCATATTATCACATCACCATTGCAAACCAGATCTAACACCACCATCTGTTATCAAACAGATATGCTAAAATGCTATAGCAAGAGCCACAGAGACAATCTCAAAGCCAAGAAACAAATTCAACTTTCCAATTTGAAGTCAAATCATTCACAAAAAGACCATACCAGGTTAGAATCCTTGACTCACTGCTGCCCCCTAAAAGACAGAAACAGCAAACAAAAATATTAGTAATTAAATGGGTACCATGATAAACATTGGATAAATGCCAAGATCAATAGTCGATGGGAAAATGCAATAAGTGAGTAGATATTGCTACAGATTTGGGCTACTGTTAGCTTGCTGTTAGCTGCTGTTAGCTTGTTTTCTCCCCTGGTTGACCTGGTTTCCTCCACCATCTCTGCCTTACCCGGACTGTATATGTGTATGGACCTTGTTATGTTGTACTTTGTGTTTTTTGTTGTTCCATTAAACCTCCTTTTTTCCTACTAGCACCTGGGTCAGCCCAATTGAGTCCAACCTCAGTTCTCCCTCACCCTCCTGGTGAGGGGGGCCTCAAACATAACAGTTTCTGTACTATGATGGACTCTAAAACCCAGTGGCGGGCCGTGCATTTGGTACCTGGGCCTTCAGTGGGGACTTACCCAATTTAATTCACCTCTTAATACCACCACTGTACGTCGCAATTATAGAAACCATCAATGCTATACAAAAACGCAATATAACAAAGTGTGGCATTACAGAGAAAGAGGCATTTCGCATATTGAGGGTGAATACCGTTTTTACTAAAGCAAGAAACCCAGTTAAGACAACTCCAAAACCTCTATACTACAACCGCAACTGTGACACGTACATCATCTGGAGCAGTTCAGAATCAATATTTATGTAATAACATGACAAAAACATAAAAAAGTTAAATAAAATACATCACACTCACTAGAGATGCTATTTATTTATAGACAAAATCCATCCTCATGGAGGTGATCTCTGTGTTTCAGTTCAATCAGTAAGTTCTTTTCTAGTTTTGCTCTGACAACCAATCAGAAGACGGAAAAATGCTGATGTTATTGTAGGCCAGCTAGCTGGCCCTGTGAGGCGAATTTGAAATCTGATTGGTTAAAGAAACAGTCCCATTCGGCCAGCACTACTGATTCTGAAGGCCCTGGGCAGATTAGATTGACATGGCAACACATAGAGGCTGAAATCTGATTGGACAAAAAATCTAACATCCACATACACGCACTGGAATCGGTGCAGCCAAGAGAAACGCTACGAAATGAAGAGAATAGACTGCTGGGAATAAATTAATACAATTTCATGGAACAAATATTAGAATTTAGGTTGTAAATATGGGTCAGTGCTTCTGATAGTGTTTAGGCCAGCAGAGAAGGCCTTGCTGGCCCCGATGGCCCGCCACTGCTAAAACCTGACTGAAAATCCTCAAACAAATCATTCTTGTGTAAGTGGTCACATAACTGCTTAGCAACAGTTTTTTCCAGAATTTTAGAAATAAATGGTAGATTGGATATTGGTCTATAATTGCTGTAGCCTGGACACCTGGGTCAAGAGTAGGCTTTTTGGATTGTTCTTATTTTCCTCTATCAGTGATGAATAAAATGCAGTTCTGGCACTTCAAAGGGCTTTCTTGTATGTTATTAAACTATCTTTCCAGGCTATGAAAAACTCTTCTGACTTAGTGGAGCGCCACCTCCTTTCCATTTGTCATGATGCCTGCTTTAGGGAGCGGAGCTGCGAGCTGTACCACGGGGCCTCCTCTGTTTCACTGCCTTCCTTTTCAGAGGGGCAACAGTATCAAGTGTATTACACAGGAAGGCTGCAGTACTATCAACAAGATTATCGACTTGTGTGGGAGTAAAGTGAAGGTGGCCTCCCTCCACTGTGTTGGCACATGGCAATGAAGTAAATAATGATGGAATTATTTCCTTAAACTTGGTAACAGCATTGCCAGATAGACATCTACTGTAGTGGAATTGTTTCCACATAGAGTATAATCCATTAATGGAAATTCAAAAGTTATTAGAAAATGGTCAGACAGAAGACGGTTTTGGGGGAAAACTATTAAGTGTTCAGTTTTGATGTCATATGTCAGAACAAGATCAAGGGTGGGATTAAAACAGTGAGCGGTTTTATTTAGAGTTTGAGAGAAGCCAATTGAGTCTAATAATGAACAGAATGCATTGTT